AAAAACAAAAAGACAAAACAAAACGAAAAAAAGAAAAAAAAAAAAAAAAAAAAAAAAACTTCAGACACATCAGCACAATAATAGGCAGCCATACATGATATAATTAAATGAATTTACAACAACAGCTACAAGATGAAAGCGGCATCAGTAGCAAGCAATAGCAACGAGCAACAAATGTCTATGAAATGTGCATTAATTAGTGGTCTCGCAAACCTAAACAGGGTGTCGCTTAACAATAATTACACTTGTGACAGAAATGAACGAACGCGCGACGATCGAGCACGCAATGCAACGCAACGCAACGCAACACAATTAAACTTGCAACTCGTGCAGCAAAATTCAATTCAATTACGTATACAGTGAGAATTACATAGAAGTGTGTGATGATCGTCATCACCAAGTGATATGAAATTTTATATAGACAACGCAGGTCCACAAAACGACACACATACCATCATGCCACGATCAATTGAACACACGTACAATCATTAACCACTCAGCGTATGCAATTGTTAACCGTTTTGGTTATAAAGAAAAAAAAATAAAAAATAAAAAAATAAAAATGAAAAAAGAATAAGAAAAAGAAAAGAAAAAAAACTAGTACACACGCAAAGATTTTGCAAAAAGAATAAAAGGAGATGCAAAAAAGCCTTTAAGGGGGCCAATAAGTAAGCGAGCACGCATCTTTGAAATCAGATCAAAGCGAGGCGTTCTCGTAAATATTATAAACAAAATAAAATTCCCACATGTTATTTGCAACATTTCAGAACGATAATCATAGACTTCCAGAAGAGCATGTGTGCGAAAAGATTTCTAAAATGTGGTATGAAAATGATTTTCTACATATTTAGCTGAAGGCCACTATCACAATCAAGTCGATCGTCTCTGAATAGAAAGAATATCCCTCTACCTGACTGATTGTAGCATACCATGGCTTAATGGATTTCGTTCTTCAACAGCAAATATGTTACATGTATGTAAGGCGTGGTAAATATTTTACTCTTGCGAGTCATCTCTCTATCTCATCGTCGCATTCATCATTCAGAGGCCCCTGGCCGTATTATGCGCTTTAATACTTTTATTGGCATTTCTTCTTTGTTTTCCTTTTTGTTTTTCCATCTTTTCGGTATTGTCTTTCCTGCTTTTCTAATCAACTAATAAACAACAATATGCGTAACAGGATGCATTTGATATGGAACAGCAACACTTTAGGTTCTTTTATACTTATACCATCATGTCACATACTATACATACATACGAGCCCATAGATAGCGTTTTACTTAAGCGTCGTCATCAATTGATTGCGGTGAACGGTTGTTAGACTTGTCTGTTTAATACTCTTGTAGCGTCTTTCTTACATTATATTGCGTTACATTGCATTGCATTTCATTGCCTAGCATTGAATTTTTTATTAGTAAATTGTTGCTGTGGCCTCCCGATATATAATAATATGCGGTTGTTACCATTAATTGTTTAAATGTGTTTGTCGTGTGGCATAAGCGTGACTTTTCTTTGGTTGCTTGGATCATTTCAACTAAATATTGGCAATATTTTCTCCAAAATTGCAATTTTCTTACAGTAAACTAGCAAACAGTTAGTTATCTGTTTCTTTATAATTCATATATACTTTGCCTTATAGCCAGCTACGACTATAAGCCTTACAGTCTTCTTAAACATATTTAATTATAGTCTGAAAACAGGAAGCTTTCTGTTCATTTCATAGCTAAGAAGCGATTGGAATAACCTTTCTTCTACGCCGCTCCAGGGTATACATTGTACTGCCGATATATACACATTTATCAAATGCATGTAACGAAGTATGCATCGTAAACTTAATAAAGTTATAATTAGCGAGAATATATTGGAATTTCTTTACCCCATATATTCGCAAGGTTTGCTTGCTTGTTTTTGAGAATTTTCCAAATTTCAACATTTCAAAATTTGGTCTACTCTGTCCCTTTTCACATTCTTGTCTCTCTCTTCCCGTTTGTTTGTTGAAAGGTACAAGTACCAGTTAACTCGGATTCAACACGAATGCTTTATATCTTCTTACGCTATGTTTTTAAAATGTGTTTTTAAATAATTCTTATTTCAAGCCCAGTTTATCACGTTCAAAAATCTGTTAAGAAAATGATATACATAAATGAAAGAGAGGGTATTACGCGAAAATCCGCAACAAGATTTAAGCAAAAAAGTTTCTTCAATATTAATATCGTACGAGGTGTTTCGTCATACATGGGTTTCGAAGGGTATTTTCTCGGCTTGTTCTTTTAATATTCATTTTTTGTGTATAAAAAAAAAAAAAAAAAAAAAAACAATTTTATTCACAGTTTAATCGTACAAAAGGCTAAAATTTAAACAATATTTTATAAAACTTTCATTTAAATATTTCCTAATTTTTTATTTTTTTTATATGAACAATCGTTGAGGTGATGCCCGTTATACGGGTAATAAGACAACTGTCCGAAAGAAGTAATGAAATAGACAGGGATAGGGAGAATACGTGCGTGGCCAATTGGTAAGTGTTATGCGTTCATCAGCTTAGCGTTCACTATAGTTGGAACCAGGAATGTTTTACCGTATTGAGATTTGAACCTGCAAACACTGACTTGATAGTTCCGATTCTTATGTGCTCGGTTACTCATGCGCATAAATTTAGCCGTTGATAAAAGTGTCGTCGCCGTGAATAGGATAACTCGTGCTAGGTTTATATGAAATCAAATAAGTAAAAACACTTTAGTCGGGCAAGGTTGCTATCCTTGAAAACTGTACACCACTTCACCTAAGATAGTCATTCATTCATTCTCGTGATAATACATCAATCCTCTTCAATTTGCTTTTTTTCCGTGAAAAGTCATACTTTTCATGAAAGTCATTATATAGGAAGGGGCCCAAGCATTGTGCTGACATGACATTATATTAAGTAAATTTAATTTTCTTGTTAAGCAATTTATTACTCTTCAGTTATTTTCATTATATAAACTACAACTTGGATTTTGTTCAGATATAAAGGGTCACTTGTCATGACAGCACTTCTATGGACTGGGAACCACAAAACAGATCTGCATTGTCCAAATTACGTCTGATTAGATCTTCTCACAGAAACGATTACATAAGGGGAGGGTTGAAACTTTGGCCCATCCGATCCAAACTTGACATTTGAATTTATTTATACCAAAATACAATTACTCAGCAACCTTAGTCCAAGAAATATCGGAAATTGAAATTCGCTTTCACATAACAGCTTCTTCAAAAAAGGGGAATGGTTTTTTGAATGAGGCTTTGTCCTTGGGGAAAAACACGGCAAAATCCAAACCGAGCGAAGAATTTAAAAAAGTACAATTCCTAAAAATTCTCTAATTCCCTAAAAAGAACATAGCAAGCATTCGTGCAATCACTGCTCAAAATTCCAATGAGATCGTTGCCTTCGTTTTCGAGATATTTGGCTCACGAAATTCGAAAATAAAGTTGTGAGAAAAAGAGGATTAACCATGAAGTAGCATTAGCACTGGGAATTTCTAAATGCTCTCCTTCCTGAATTTTATCATCGATTGATTTTGGAATTTTGAAGCAATATTCTTGACATGTTGTAGTATTTAATAAGAAAAACGAAAATAGTTTTTTTCAAAATCAAAACACAAGCAACATCTTGATGAGAATTCAGCATCGTGTGTCTATATACTCGTATATAATTCGTCCCTAAACTATAAAATAAACAATGTAAAATAAGACAATGATAGACACTGACAATCCTTATTAGCTGAAAACTTTTCCGTTACGGTTCCGCATATCAGATGAACATGAATTTTTTGAAAAGGTAAATATTTCACACATGAAAAAGTTCAACGTCGTGTTCCATGCTTCCTTACTTGGTTGCCTGTGAAACATATCACACGTGGTTCACTAAGTGAAAACTGACACATGTGTCGACTTAAAAACAAAAAAAATCTTCATCGAAAAAGACAAAGGTAAAACGCAAAAGGTAAAATGGTTTTTAGCCTACACCCATCATCTAAGTCGTATTGTCAAGTTTCAAATGCGTATAAAGGCATTCCGTAACAGACAATAAAAAGGTTTCGCCTGCCTCACAACTAACGAGACCAAGACGTGTTTCAGAAGCGATATACGCGATTTTCACACAAGGACTATAATCAAGATGCTCATTGCTTGAGTCGGCCAGGAACTATTCATGGTAATCTAATCATGGTCTTAACGCACTCCGAACACCACTTGGAAACGCTATCGGTAATTGGTCATAACCTCAACATCTGAAAAGAGACAGCTATGCAGGGTATATACAGGGAACTTGCAAAGTGTAATACATTCCATAATTGAGAAATTTGAGAAATTTTGTGGCTAAACTTAGCTAACTTCCATTCAGTCTTCAATATATCCTTGCTTAAGTTTAATGCATATTGTTCGATTGATTTTCCAATTTATTTGCTTCGTCTTCTTAATGATTTTGGTTAGGACTTCTAATATTCTTTTCTATCTTTGCGTGGCATCTATATTCTATGTAAAATTTGATATTAAATTGTTTTTTAATCGTTAACTATTTTCTCCTTGCATGTAAAGAGGCGCTGTTCGCTCACGCTTTCCTTTTCACTTTTCCCTTTCCTTCTTAGACAGAAAAGAAACTGTCTTCCGTCCGGATGTTACTAGATTACATTTTTCTGTAGCGAGTCCCAAGGAGTTTCGAGGAAGTGGTGAGTCCCCGTTGATGGAAGCGTTGCGTCAAGCAAATCTTGACATTTCAGCCTTTCGTCAATTCTGAATGCTGGTACAGGATTTCAATAACAGTAAATGCTCCAATTCTTCTTGCTTTCCACCGTCCTTGCTCAACATTCTCGATAGGAAAAGGAATAATACCGTCCGTAATTTGATTGCATTTAGTTATTAAATACAGAGAAACATAAAATAAAGTATATATATATATATATATATATATATATATGTATATGTATATGTGTATTTAATAACTAATGTATTAACATAATAATGTAATATATATGTGTGTGTATTCTTTTTTTTGCTAAATATCATACGTTGCACTTGCGGTCTATTCGTTGAGTTCTGATTGCCGTCAAAGCTTTTTAAAGATTTCGATGATTTTCAGTGAAAGAAACTTTTGCTTCTTGCACTGCCTTGACGCAATTTTATTCTTCTTCTAACAGATATTGACTTGAAGTGACGGCAACAGATTAAAACAACTTCAACAGAAAGCATTAAATTCTAATGCCCGTATAAAATAACAACAATTTTTAATGCATTTTTTTAATGTCCTTATGATCGGAACCCTTTTCGCAATATTTTTTAAATTTAAAGTTAATATTATTTATTCATTGGCTAATGTTGGCGCATTTAACACCCAAGACATTAATTTCTCTGATTTTTTTTTTTTTTTTTTTTAATTTTTAAAATAATTTTAAACACCTTTAAAACATTATTAAACAATTAATTTATTTTGAACATGAATTGACCAGCGAATGCAGTGAATCAATCAGTCAGCCATCATCAATTGCTTGCAATTGTTGCTGAAACGCAAGACAATTTTATGAATTTTATGAGCACATTAGAAACGAAACGTGTTTAAAATTAATTTATATGTTTCTGCTATAGTCATAAAAATTACCCAAAAAACGTCGACTGAATATTGATAGAAAATAAAGTAAAAACAATCGAAAAAAAAAAAAAAAATTAAAATACCAATAACTTAAGTTTACAGTGTGATAAAATCAGTGCTGCAAAATGCCATGAAATATACACAACGCCCCCTAACGTCCAATTCTATAATAAGGGTCATTGTCATGAGAAATGTAAGCGCAAGAAGAGGGATTGTGCGTTGCACAAACATTTTTAACGATGAATGAATTCCTATAGAGCGTTTTGTATATCGAATAAAACGTAGCCTGAATTCTAAATTTGTATCTTTAAGCTTTTAAACTTTGGTATAAATGCGCAGTTCTCTTACATAATTTCGATATTCGCGTTTGAGTGGTTGGAGTAAAATTATTTCTATTTTTCTTTTTTTGTTTTTTGAAAAACGCGATAAACTAAAATGATTCAATTAAAGATATCGTCGGTGTTCATATGTTGTTTATTTTCCATAATTGGAGCGGATGTATCGTTGTTACGTTACAATCGATTATCCTCTTCCCCAACGCAAAGTTTGCAACGTTCAGAATCCAGTCTGACGCCATATCCTGCCCGGGGCTATCGTCCTCAGCAAACATTTAATTTACCTCGTGAACAACCGATTTTCGCTTTGGCCGGTGAGCAATTCGCCAGTAGCAATAAATTAAATAGCGAAGATAGTCAATCGTCGTTACCAATATCTCGACCGGAATTAGTTTACGGTTCACCTGAAAAAGAAACCGAGTTACAGCGTTTTAGCTCACAAAGATTACGTTCTCAGAGACTAAGATTAGCTCCCGCTGCTGCCACTGCCGCTGTCGCTCCCGTCAAACTTGAACGTTTAACTAATAATCGTGAGGATCAAGAGGATGACGATGATGAAACCTCTACATCCATTGATATCGAAGTTGGGGGTACCAAGAAGACGCAAGACGGTGATAAGAAGCCTATGATGCAATCTGGAGAACCAGTGGTAACTTATTACCCTGCTAGTGCAGTCGGTTTTGTACATCCCCTGGCCGCATATAATTTGCCAACACCAGCCGGTTACTTAACGGCAACTAATGTTCCCACTGCCTCTTACTATCAACCGCAATTCAGTTTTGCCGGATCTCCTGCTCAACTGCAGGTTTGGTAGTTATTATGATTCTCGTAAAACATGTTCTTATTGTTGTTGTTACTATGATTGTTTGTAGTTTAAATAAAGCTTAAAATAATTTAATTGCAAGAATTCTAAATGCGTAAACTAAAAAAACTTATAAAATGCGATAATTGTCTATGTGGTTTGGCTTCCTTGAGCTGAAAGATTAGCAAGTCCTACGATCAAGAATTCATTTAAATCCGTCGTTCGATACATTACCGTGAATCTTTCGGCGTTCAATATTAACGAGCTGTGGTTTGTGTTATCCTCTTTTTAGGTGATCTATTTCATCTACAATCTACAAAATAGTTTAAAGTTTGAGATCGAACGGAATTGAATCTTAACAACTGTCGTCAAAGCTTTTCCAGCAGAGTTTTCTAGCAGAACAATAAATCCCAGGTGTACAAATGGTATTTGGCATGCCTGGCCATTGTGGCAGTTGTTAATGTAATACTCGAGGAAATTCCTATCATTTCATCTCTTGTTGTTTAGGAAGAATGAGCGAAAGCTCCAGAAAGCACAGGCATTCTCAGTTTATGTTACACTGTAGACGTGTCCTTTAAGCGATTTGGCCCATTTCCAATGCCAGCCTGCTCGCAAGCACTTGTAATGCTCTTATTAAATATAAAGACGATATATCTTTACCGTCAATCTTTACGGACGGGCGGGCAAAGGGGGTGTTACAGATATCACGATTGGTTAATTTAATTTGATGTTAATCAAGGGGAAACTCTTTATGCGATATCTGAAGTTTCCCATGTGTATTGTAAATACTTTTACGAAATAAATGTATCGCCACCATCTCGATGGTGGGAATGAAAAACATTTGACATCAATTCGGTCAAGGCGATGCAACGCTATACAGACTTCTAAAAAAATTCGTCGTGCTTATTGTGGTGACGCTTTATCGAAACCAATGACACGTAGTCAGGTTTCGTCGTCTTCGCTTTGCAGCTTTCGATTCTAAGTACGCGTCGCGCTCTTCGAATTCTTCGGAATGTAGACAAACCGACATATTTCATCTCTTGATATGGCTGCGAAACTAAACATTGACCAAAAACAGTTTTGAGCCATTTGCATAAAGCTGAATACAAAAGGAAGATTGATATTTGGTCAGCAGTGAAAAGTTCATTAAGCTTCCGTCTGCGATTGACCGCCGAAATAAAAAGAAAGCGACCCGTCTTTCAGGGGATTCATAATCAACGATGAAGACTGAGCTGCATACGATAAAAACATGATGCACAATGGACAAGGATGCGCCAATGGGAGCAAAATGCGATTTGATATTTGGGAATTGAAGTCATTCCTTTTTCGGGATAAGGGAGGAAAGAAATTATGCATCATGACTTATGTCAAAGTTCCAAGATATTTAGTTTGACACTCTAAGTAAGCTTCTTTGATGTCTCAACAGAAAGTGACAAAACTTACCTTATGCTTTACGGGTTTAAGGGATCTTTAAGATCGTTAAAAACGATATAAAACTATACTTAGAATCGATTTAATTGTTAATTATTCATCTATAAACGAGGAAATACACGGTGTAATAATTTTCAGAAATAAGTCCAGGAGGAGTTGATTCAACAAATCTTAACAATGAGTGCGGAAAAAAATTGGTCCAAAACGGAAGGGAATCGAATGATATGAAAGTTCATTCGAAAGCAACAAGAGTAGCATGAATAGGTAAGAATATTGACTACCAAGTCAGTGTTCGGGGTTTCAAGCCTTAAGTGCGTTAGAGTATACTGTGGTCAGTCGGTAAGGGCATAACACTGACCGATTCGGCACTTCCCTATCTCGTTAATCACATCTTTCTGACCGTGTTACGTGAATAGACTACATCCCGTGGCGCTATGTTCATATCTAAAAAGAAAAAAAAAAGCCTTAGATTGATACTCAAAGCGAGTTTACTCCTAAAATAACAAATGCCCCTTCATTTATTTAGCTCAGCAGTAATCATTTTTTCGCTTAAACACTTCGTGCTCAAGAGAACGAGAGGCGTCTTTTAATCAGCCTAACATCTCTTGAGAAGAGAAGAATGGGTCTTGCCGCGGGTTTCGTGGTTAAGTTTATTTATGTGGAAGAAGAGTTTTCAACTTTACAGAGTAACCTGGCCCTTCACCGTCCCGTATCGAGTCTCCAGTTATTTCTTTCCCTTGCGCCTACTGCGTTGCGGAGCTAGCTATGAACGACATTTTCCTATGCGCGACCTCTGTAAACTCTTTAATAAAAATTATCACCTCTTCTCCATTTCTTCACCGATAACGTTGTTGTGAGTTGCTAATCTTCAATGTTGGTGTTATTTTCCTTTATCTTCCTTTTGCCGCTGTAGGTTTAGGATTAAGTATTTTAAGGTCTAGCTTCTAAGGTATCCCGCTGCTAATAGCTAAACAAAAAAAAAAAAATATGAAAATAGATGGTCGTCGGTGAAAGCCATGTTATTTTTTGTGGCTCACGGCAGCGCTTTCCTTTCTTTTTAGAGAAAGCCTATCTAAGCATACACCCATGGCTATATAAATAGCACAAAATTAAAATTTAATTTCAAAAAAGTTTCCAAAGTACGTAACTCCCTACCAATACAGTAAAAGCTCCTTATTCGCGCTTCCTTTATTCGCGGTTTCACTATTCACGGATGAAAAAAATGCGATCCAATTCCTATATTCGCGGCTATAAATTTCTTTATTCGCAAATTAATCCAGGCCTTTAAGCTTTATTACATTAGACGAACCTTCAAAATCATATTTGATAATATGGAATGTAATCCTGATATGAATGTTATGGAATGCAGGAAGAAATTTGACATAGCAAAATGCATCGTAAACATAAAAAAATCATTGGAAGAACTGAAGCCACACACATTGAAGCCATGCTGGAAAAAACTGTGGCCTGCTCTCACTGCGGAAAATGACGAATCTGTGCAAGTTCAAACTTTCACTGCAAACATTGCCGAAATCGCGAATGGAATAGGACGAGATGGGTTCGAACAGATAGAATCAAATGACATTCAGGAATTGCTTGAATCGCAAGATGAAGATTTGACTGAAATTTACTTTTTTAGGAAATGTTAAATTCACCGCCCATTGAAGAAGCGGCAGTGCAACAAGCACTGTTAACGTGACATTTACTTTGGAGAGCCTTAGTGAGGGTTTAAGAATGGCAAATAAGCTTGGCGATTTCTTTATGAACATTGACCCGTCTATGGAACGAAGTCTTATTTTTAAGAGGCAAATTGCTGATGTCACAGCTGCGTATCAGTTTGAATTGAAGGAGCTTTTAAAAACTGCCAAGCAAGAGAAACTTTCAAAATTCTTCAAACCATTGCCTAATCCTTGATCAAAATGTTAAAAAGCTTAAATTAAATTGATTCTTTTTTTTTGTCACCTAGGAACGTATCCCCTATAATCCCATATAAATTACCATTCCGTATTCACGGTTTCAGTTTTCGCGGCATTTTTATGGAACGTATCCCCCGCGAACAAGGTGCTTTTACTGTATTTCAATATTATTTATTGTTATCTTTTTGCCTTTGCGTTCGTATTTATTACTCCGCCAGCGCATACCTGAAAAATTCGAACGATCGCATATTACGTGAAAGAAAATTTAAGAAAGAAGATAATTTTCATCCAAACCTAACGCTTATACGGAATATGATTAAATTTTTGCTATGAAAGTAATAAAAAGTATTTCTGCAATGTTACGCTGTTAAGCAAACAAATATTAAATGTGCGCTCAACGAAATATATTTCTTTAAATTTAACCAATTCAAATTGACAATTTTATGATGACTAGAGGAATAAGTTATGTAAATGTTTCGAGTCAATCCCAAAAAAAAATTGCTTGAAAAACTCGCTCGATTTAACCAAATCGTAATTAACCAAATTTCAATTTCCTTCGACGAAAAGTAAAATGAAAAAATTTAATGAGAAACAAATCGCCTGAGTCGTTCCTACTCCCCCTCGCTCCTACAATACGAAACAATCAATTCGAGTGAAGTACGCGCTTAGAACTAACCACATTTCGTAAAAATCAATTCGGGAAAGAGTTATCGTAGTTCTAGTGCACTATTTTTTGCCCACATCATGCTCTATGCTGAACAGCTTAAACAATGAAAATATCAGTGTCGTAAACGTCCTCGAATTACATTCATATAATTTTTATTGAGTGAGCAGAACTTGGAAAAAGCAAAACTTTCAATTCGCTGAACGTCCTTAGGAAGCTAATTAGATGATTTCATGTAAGTCGTCTTAAAAGACGAAGACGAGAATGAAGACCGCAGAGTGCAGAAATATTAGAAAGTCGTTGGACACAGTTGTTCAACTTAAAATGACTTTCGCTACCAAATATTTTATGTTTGACATGTGCTGCACTTACGCTACGGATTTATATTTAAACGAAATATTTCTTTCACTAGTTAACTTGTCGACCTTTTCATAACTATTGAATTGAGAATGAAAAACAAAAAAAAAAACTGAAAATGTTTTCTATAAATTATCATCGGACTTCATCGTAAATGAGTCACAGTCGCTTAGACACTACTTACTATTGTATTTAGAATGCGATACGCGATTTTGTTTATATTTTTTTCACATTGAATATCTGTAATGGTGTGTAAATATGCATAAAAAATTTGCATTCGCATCTTGTTTCATTTGAAACAAAAATAAAATATTCACGATCTACCTCAACAAAAGGAGCTCCTGTCCGTCATTGAGACGTTCAGTTAGTCAGCTATATGCTCTTTTAGTACCGTCAACAACAGCTGGTATATTGCAAATTGTAGTCGTTGCCGTTGTGTTTTTCCCTTTACTTTTTTTCTTTGTAAATTTGTTTTTGTTTTTTTTTTTGTTTTCGTAAATATAATTGAAATTATTCGCACACGTAAATGATGGAAAGGATAGAAGGAATTACGGCCCTAGAAACAAAGAAAAACTTCTTGCTTTATAGCAAAGAAATATCGCTTTATGTCAGGTAAGTTCAGACCGAGTTTTCATCGGTCCGACTAGATAAGAAGAATCATTTCGTCTGTCTGATTCAAATACCTTTAGCTTGCATATGTTTTTTTTTATTCACCTCTTACAAAAAGAGGAAAAAACCTTCCGAGCGTCGTTTAACAAAGCAAGCCAATTAATCTTGAATCGTATTCAATAAAGGGAAATATTAAAGTGTTATCACTTATGCCGAGAATCTGTAAGGGAAAGTAAAGTCCCAAGCAAAATGGCATATGAAAATTGTTAAACGATAGTTCGGACGGATTAAATAACAAATTTTTGTTATGGTTATTTAGATGCAGCAGTTATATGATCTCTCAATTACCGGTTAAGAGAGAGCAACTGAAAAAGCGAGCTGCAATTACGTTCTCTCGATGTTTGGTATTTTTCATCGTATTTCAGTAGTTGTTGGTATGTTCCCATAAAATAGCTTAAATATTCAAGCTTCTCCGAATAAATTAAAAAAAAAAAAACAAAGTTGACTTAAACACCAGCAACAGGTACTCATTCTTGCACGTCTTCAAAAGTAATTCTTCATCATTTTTTCTATATATATATATATATATATATATATATATATATGTAAGCAAACTTAGTGAGACCAGTTATATAGCTTAGTTTGTATTAGTTGTTGACATTTTAAATCCAGATAAGATGAATTCATTTTTAATAATGAGTCAATATCTAAAAAAGGATTTGTTGTTAACAAACAATTCCCTAGTGTAGGGCATCTTTGGAGCCATATTTATATACTCAATTGAATATAAGAAATTTTTTAAAACATTTAAAAAGAAAACAATAACATGTGATGACGATAAACAATCCGCCATCATCATAAATAAAGGCAAACAAATGAAAAGTCAATGAACGATCAATGAATTCACAATTAAAATACTGAGCATATTGTATAAAAATGATCATCATTATTATCATATTCCTGGTCATTATAATCATCATCATTATCGTTATGATGAGGGGCAGCAAGCGAATCGAACTTTTCTCTTTTTTTTTTATTATTTATTTATTTATTTATTTAGTTTTATTTTTTTATTTTATTTATTTATTCTTTTTTTTTTGTACAGGCATTGTAAACATTGCAGTGTAGTATAAATATTATACACAATCACTTCACTTGTAGTCACTTGTCATTGTCAAAACAGCAATGACTAAGAGTTTCATGAATTCGAAAATAAAAAAAATTTTAAAAAAGACAGAAAAGTCAAAAAAAGAAAAGGAAAATAAATATAAAAAAAAAAAGAAAAAAAAAAATTCATGCTCTTCGTGATCAATTGATCATCAACATTATCGTAATCATGATGATGAGCAACAAGAATAACAATTCAAAAGTTGAATGCTTAGCTTAACAGTCAAAATATTAAATACTCATAAAAGAAAAAAATAAAGAAAAAAAAAATAAAAAAAACAATAACTGAAAACTTTTCCTTATGAATATTGTTGATTTGTGTTTATGTTTGCATTCTTTTATATAGAAACTGAAGTCTGAAGTGCCATTTGATTTATAACAATGTAAATATCACAAACTCATAAGTCCCTATATATATATATATATATATATATATATATATATATATATAT